ACCATGGGGGCAAGCCGGTTTCCATAAAGGATTCAGCATGATTGACCATATCCACATGACAACCAGGCTCATTGAGATTTCTCAGGAGTTCAAGATGCTGCTTTGTCTAATGTTCATTTATTTAAAGAAGGCCTTTGATTCTGTTGAGACTGAAGCAGTCATCAAAGCCCTAGCCAAACAGGGCATTCAAACTCAATACATCGGGATTGTCCATGAGCTGCATTACAAATTCACTACCAGAATCTCACCATTCTACAAGGAAGTGATCATCCATTTAAAGAGAGGGGTTCGGCAGAGTGATACCATTTCACCAAAACTCTTCAGTGCTACCCTGGAGAATGTCATGTGATGATTGGAATGGGAAGGAATGGGAGTGAAGGTGGACGGTTGGCAACTACACCACCTCCGCTTCGATGATGACATCATTCTAATAACACCAAGTGGCACAAATGCTGGCCAACTTCAATTGTGAGTGTGGAAAGGTCAGACTACAGCTGAATCTCACGAAGACAATGTTTATGAGAAATGGTCTCATTTCTGAGGATCCAATCATTCTCAATGAAACAACCATCTCTGAATGCAACAGTTATGTATACCTAGGTCAAGAAGTCATAGTGATGATGACCAGGCACCTGAGTTGCACAGGAGGAAGGGAGTGGCTGGAACTCCTTTAAGAGCATTGAAGAAATAGCTAAGAGGGTGAAGAACCTCTGGCTCTGGGCACATCTCTTGATTTCACTGTTCTTCCTGCATTAACATACTCCTCAGAGACTTGGGCCCTATGAAAACAGGATGAGAAAGCTATTTGGGTCTCCCAAAGAGGAATCAAAATAGCTATGCTTGGAGTATCACGATTCACTCAAGTGAGAAAGAAGCCAGAGTTCAGACCTCTGTCAATGGTCAAGAATCAGGGATGCTGTCTTGTTTGCCAAGGAGTCAAAAATCAGATGGGCTGGACAAATAGTGCAATTTCGAGACAACTGATGGACTAGAGCCATTACCAGCTGGATTTCACGAGACGTCAAAAGATTGCGTGGCCACCTAGTTGGTCAGCTTCTTTGTCAAGACCCTAAGCAATCGGTTTGAGGCTCTTCATGTTCCTAGAGCGAGCAGAGGCCATTGGGCTACACTAGCACATGACAGAGACAAATGGAGACATTACTGTTGCCCGCTTGAGCAAATCGATGAGTAACAGGATGTCAAGTGATCAAGAAGTGATCAAGTGAATATTTACATTGTTGAAAAGAAAGTTCAATTAAAATAATTATGTATAGTCTTCCCATTAAACAAATGCTTCCACTTCATCATTGGTGTTCTTCCACCACAACTGCTACTGCAATCACATCCGTCCAAATAATCAAGCATTTGATTAATATATTTTATTTGCGAGTGGGTTCTCAGGGTTCGCTCCTGGTGGTAAACAGGAAATTCATGTGGTGTTGTGCCTTGAACCACAGTTGGTCATGTGCAAGGTCATGTCTTGGCCCTTGTGCCATGACTCTGCTCAGCATGGACCTTAAAGGTATTGATCTGAATTTTTATCTAGTGACCTAGAAAATCTGGGAATCAGTGTTTCTAGAAACTAAAATCAGACCGAAGACCAAATTATCTTATAACTATTGTACTCATTGCTCACAGGGGAAAAAATGAAGGTTGAGGTGAACATTTTTTTAATTGTTTTGTTATTAAAATATGAGAAACGTTGTCTTTTAAACTACTTTTTAAAATGTAAAGTAAAATGTAAAGGCCCTCCCGTTGATCGTCGATTTGCTCGAGCGGGCCCAGTAACGTCTCCATTGGAGACTTTGTTGTTACTGTGTCTGGCATATCGAATACTCTCGGTAGCTTGCCGGGCTCTCCGAGAGGGGCGGAGGAATCGAACTCGGGTCGGCCATGTTGGCCGCTTGTAAGGCGAACGCCCTACCCGCTGTGCTACTCTGGTAGTTATCATATCAAATAGTTTAAAATAGTGCTTCTAATTCAAATTTTTTTGGAGATTCCGGTCACACACTGAGATGCTCAGTGTTCATGGACCAATCCTGACACTATGCTGAGATTACTAGGATGCCTAAAAGTCCTCAAAGGACCATATACAGTGCCAGTGATTATTCAGGAGTTTACCTGAGAATAGAGCTTCTTTCCTCATTGATGAGCCCTTTTCACTCAAGAAATGAGAGATCGGCGAGCATTAAAAAGCATTTTAAAAACAAGAATTTAGAAATATTTTCTAAATTTCCCTTGCTAGTAACTTAATATAGAATGGTGAGAGATAAAATGAAGGTTAAATCTATTTAGTTTACATCATGCTTACACTCTGACCTCCTGGTATAAAAGTATAGAAGTATAAATCTCATGAATTCTTATACAAATATAGCAAAATTAAGTTCTGCAGTACATTGAAAGTATAGTGCATATTGAAGTTGTACATTTAAGAGTGAAACAATTTTAAATGTACATTTTATTCAATTCAAATGAAATTTAAAGAATAAAAGGACGAGCAAACAATATAAAATTTAACTTAGAACTTTTAAATATTCTTTTTATCCTGGGGTCATACCTAATGGTTCTGGGGGTAAGGACATACTTCTGAGTCATTGTTTTGGTCATTTCTGGGAGTGCTCAGAGACATAAGATGCCAGAGATCTAACCTACACCGCTTGCATGTAGAGAATTCATTGTAATACCGTGGGCAAACTTTCTGTTCCCTACATTTAATTGCTTACTTTTTTAAAACCACTTAAGTTCTCATTTCTTTTGGGCAAGGCTGAATGTTGATGTCTTCTGCATCTGTAACTTTATTTTTCTTAGTTAACTTGTTTTTACTGAACACATTGACATCTTAAAATTCATGAAATATATACTTGATGTCTATAGGTGAAAAATATCCTACCATTCTATATTCTTGACTGAAATACCTCTGTACAGATTTACATGATAAATTGTTTAATGGCAAATGCCTGTGAGCTTCACACACAAAATAATTCAGCAACAATAAGGTAGCATGAGCCTAAATTGAATCAAAACAGAGAGAAGTCAGTAGGGGGTTGGGACTTAAGGAATAAAAGGAAATATGGTAATATGTTATAAATGAATATCTTATGGTAAAGAAATCCTTGCAACTATATGGACAAGTAGATAATTAGCAGTGTAGTAATCATTTAATCTAAGAGTATTGAGTAGTACTATATGTATGTATATATACTATTACATTTAATGAATAAAAATTTGGGAAGAAAAAAATGTCATAGCTCTCTGCTATACTACCTAAGAACAGACAGAAGCATCTTTACAGATACAGGTATTGCCACATTTCCCCCTCTACTCTTCTTAGCTTATTTTCTTTGTAGTTATTTATGGTGATAGTGATTTTCCTGGACAAGGACCTTTATCTAGATTCTCTTAGGCTTTTAAGTCTAGGTAAAAAGAAAAACTCCCTGAACCTTGTTATTTTTAAAGACTAATCAGTCTTAAATATCATCATTCCAAAGATATTTATAAATGGTTTTTGTGATAAATTTTGCTCCCTTGCACTTATTACACCTGTGCTTGTCTTTGTGCACAATAATGTATGTGAATTTCAAGGAAAGAATCAGTTTTTTAAAGCTTTATAAAGAATAATAAAGTATTTGGCCACATAGACTTTAATTGAAGCAAACAAGTGTACGTACTAATTCAGAGAATGTGCACATTTTAAAGTCCACCAGGGAACATTCACATTTTGATGTTTAATTACATCACCCTGAGATAAACAGTTACAGATACCACCAATGCACCCCTGAAGCCTGCCTCTATGTCAAAGACTTCTTTTTCTTCTCCCTTCCCCTCTCCTCCTTTCCCCTCCCCTCCCCTCCCTTCCCCTCGCCTCCTTTCCCCTCCCCTCCCCTCCCCTCCTCTCCTCTTCTCACCTCTCCCCTTTCTTCCCCTCCCCTCCCCTCCCCTTTCATTCCTTACTGTCTCCTTCCCTCACTTCCTCTCCCCTCTTATCTTCTCTCTCTCTCTTCCAAAGTAGGTTCAATCTAATTAAATATTGAGAGAGAAATGAGAAGTAACATTATCTTGAACAAACGGACTGTTCAGTTGACTAGGCTGATGGGGTATTGAGGGACTGGTGGACATTACATAACAGATTGAGAGCATTCCTCAGTCAAGGACAGAATATGCGCAGAAGTATTAAAAATAGGGGACTTGTGATTTTTATAAACCTTTGATCTGTTTATTTTTCCCTATTTGTATCTAGCTCTAGTAAGCTGATCAATGGTTAACTTCAACGAGAGATTATTCCATTTATGACATTAATCATATAATTATGAACAGGAAAATGTGTTATTATAAAATAACAATCCACAGGTGACCTTTGTTGACATTCCTTCCTTAGTTGCCATATGCTTTTATTTTCAGCCCTGTTTTAGAAACTCAGGCAAAAGATTTTTAAATACTGAATGAGTTTTTCAACTAATTGTTAGAACAGACAATTGATTCCAGTTGATTTGTTACAGCACAACTAGTGCCAAAAATCTGACAGTTCTTAGTGATCTAGGTGTTCTGATTCAGAATCCTCCGTTCTGTAACTTCTTCCCTCTCATTTTTTTTCTCTCCTCTACTCCTCCAGCACGATTATATCTTTGAGAGTCAATCTCCCCACTGGGTAAGGGGAATTTCCCTTCCCAGCCTCTATTACTTCTTTTTTCTCAAGACACTTTCCCCTTATACTGCCCCCCTCCCTTACTTTCTCTCCCTCCCTTTTCCCAGCTCACTGATTACACTTGGCAAATGTAAGAATTTGACCTGAAGCCAAGAATGTAAAGTGGCAGTAGAGGCTTTCTACATCTCTGTATGAATGAACGTGACTGTTTATGTACATGCTTTGGCAGGTATTTGTCCATCTTTTTCTTACTACATTGCCTCATGAACTTCACGAGGCCACGCCTCACAACTTAGTCTCCACCTCTTTCTCTGGCATTCAGAATAAAAGCTTGACAGGAACATTCCACATGCACAAGTGGTTCTCATCTTTGCTTGCAGGTTAAAACTAACGCGAGGATTGGAAGAAAACTAGACTGGACCACCAGTTTCTTTTGCAGGATCATCTGGACAGGTTGGATTTTATTTTTAAAAGTAATATTAGTATTTAATTTTTTAATATGGATACAAAATTAGTCTATTATAAGTGTCTCTGAAAAGGAAATAAAGTGTTAATGTTTTAGTAACTTAATGACATAAATAATTAAAACATAAAAAGAAAAGAAAATGTCTGCCATTAAAGAGATCTTGCATTACATAACCCTTTACTATCTATTGAGGTTTAACATAAACCTACAGTATTATAGTTTTCTCCTTTGGACATACTCTCCATTTTACTGATGAAGAAACAGAGAAAGCATGGTGGAGAAAGTGAGATTGAAAATTGACTTCTAATCTTATGTTCCTTTTTGTAAACTATATCAGAAGCAGTCTGTTCATAGCAGTGTCCTTGCAGATTTTGTCACCTTTACAGTGAGAGTTATCCAATAAACAGTAGAAATCCAAGTCCTTGTTATTATGTTGACAGGTAGATCATAAGCAGAAAAATCACTGTTTTGTCTAAGGGTACTTAGAAGAAATCAGAGAACCTTGGAATATTTGACCTAACAAGTTAAGCTAATAGTTTTGAGCATACTGGCTACTGTGTCTACTGGCTATAATGCACAGGTTTGGGGTTTTATGACATACAGAAGAGTGCTCTTTGTACTATCTTTTTACTCAAATTCAGCCATGGGTATTTGCTACATGAAAGGCAGATAGGGGAATAAAGAAAATGTGCAGAGAAAGGAGGGAGAAGGGAAGAATAGAAAATTGAACTGAAAATGAAAAAAAATCAAATTCAACCGAGTTGATGAATCAGTTTTGTTTTACTTTGTTTTGTTTCTGTGATGCTAGATAAGTCAAAACAAATCACTCCTGGACAGGTTCAAGGAACCATATGTTGTGCCCTAGATTGAAACCAGGATGAATGTGTGCAAGGCAAATGCCTTACCTGCTGTCCTATCTCTCAGACCCAGAAAAAAAGTTGTGTTTTTTTTAATGCAACCACAATAAATCAATAAAGCAATAAAAAGGAGGGATTACATGTGTTAATTATTCCTAGTATTATCCTATGTGAGTTAATATTTAATTATCCTGTCTTAATTATTCCTAGAATTAAAAGTGAACACAGAGGAGTAGCCACAGTCATCCAACAGTCCAGTAAATATCAGCTACTCCCAACAGACTATTAGCCAAGATTTGTTAACCTGGCAGAACACCAAGAAAATCGTTCACTTGAGTAAATCAATAGACTAGGATAGTGGTATATTTACACATATTTCTCTTAGAGGAAGATATTTTCACAAAGTAAGGACTTTTGGGAACAGGCTTAATCATTAAAAATTTCCTTTGAATATGTCATGGGTAGCTTGCCAGGCTTTGCCTTGCGGGCGAGATACTCTCAGTAGCTTGCCGGACTCTCTGAGAGAGGCAAGGAATCGAACTCCGGTAGACTCTGTTGGCCAATTGCAAGGCAAACGCCCTACCAGCTGTGCTATTGCTCCAGCCATCAGGTATATTTGATATACCTGAAAAGGAAATTTTGGAAATCTTGGGATTGAAGAAATAGCAAGGGAGAGGTAGGTGATAGCTTTACATGCTGCCTAACTCCTGTGATCCGTGCTCAAATGTTCCCCGGATTGAACAGCCTGATAGTTGGGGGCTCACCATTCTGAACACTGCTTGGGACACATTTTCCCCAACCCCAGAAAGAGACCATTTTTTCCTAAAGGCATGCACATTTTTTTACCAATGGGAAGAATATCTGTGAATAACTTCCCTTGGCTTCTGAATACGATAGCTATCACTTTATTTTGATTTCAAGCATAAAGAAATAAAAGGAAATACTCTTTCATTATGTTTTTTCTCTAGGGTAGAATCTGGAGTAAAAATAAAAAGATGTTATACTAAGTTGTCCTAGAGAATATTTGGTTGTTGTTGTTGTTATTGTTGTTGTTGTTTTTCACTTTTCTTTCTTTTATTTTTAGAAAAGCAAGGGTTTTTTTTGTTGTTGTTTGTTTGTTTGTTTGGAGGCCACATCTGTCAGTACTCAGAGCTTCCTCCTGGCTCTCTGTGCTCATGGATCCACCCTGGTGGGCTCAGGGAACCCTAGGGAATGCTGAGGATGGAGGATCCCTGGCCTGCCAAGTGCAAGGGAAGCGCCCTACCTGCTGCACCATTATTCCAGCCCCTGAAGATAGTTTTTACTGAATGAAATTCACTTAGAAAGAGGTGAGGGGAGAGAAAGAACACACATGTTCAAGAGAGAATACAGGTTTCTCCAAAGTGGAAAACGCAGACAAGCAAAGATACATAGAGACATAGCAAGTGAGGTATATCTTCAGGCTAGAGCAATGGGGTAACAGCAAGATTCAGAGAACTTTTCTTTAAAACCTACCCCTTGATGTGCAGATCTATCCCGATATTGGTGTTGAGTGAATATAATGTGATGCCTGGCATCCAGCTGCACTCCAGCATGGAATCCTGTACTCCAACCCTTTGAGCTGCCTTCCCTGCCCGCCCCATAGTACATTTAAGAAGCAAACAAAATTGCGAGGAACATGTACAGATTTACACTCTCTATATTGAAAAAAAAGGATTATTGACTATGGCTTTCTACAGATAATTTTCATTTGTGAAATTTGCTATGGAGACTTTATTGACACTATGCATTTTCCCTGCTCTGAATAAAAATATTATAGTGCAATATGCGCCGTACCCGAGAGAACATATCTCCGGGGTCTTTCAGAGATCAGTCTTCCTGAAATGCATGATCACCTACACCCCAACAGCCAGCGGCTAATAGTTGCCTCTGATGCAGTAGAGGAGACGCTTCTGTTTGTTCTCTTACAGAAAGTAGGTTTTTAGAGGGACGCTGAATAACTATTTTTTCTGGAAAGGAGGCCATATGACAAGTATGTTTGGTAACCTCTGATCTAAATTATCACATGATTCTCTCTAAAAGCCGTATAAACTCATATTTAATAACCACTTAAAATTAGATGTATTTGGGCCCGAGCAGTTGTACAAGAGGTATGGTGCTTGCTTGTCCAGCATGTGGCTGACCCAGGTTCAATTCCCAGCATCTCCAAACCTGTCAGGAGTAATCTCTAAGTGCAGAGCAAAGAGTGGTCCCTGAGCAGCACTGGTTGTAGCCCAAAGACAAAAAAAAAAAAAAAAAGAACATACTATCGAAAATACATTAGACTTATTTATGTCCATTTAATTTCAAACAGTAGTTTCCAAAATCCAGCGTAATGATTAGCCTCAATTTATAGATGAAAATATGGAGCATAGAAGATCTAGTTTCCTAACTCACACAATTTTAAACAGCAGATGAATATTTAAACAGTGGTAAATATATACCACATTTTCAATAATTATTCTTTATTTCCATGTATACACTATAGTCATCATTGTTAATAAAAATCTGTGAACACTTAATCATACATATGCATTACAATGTGAGTTTTTATAAATTTAGGTATCCACACAATACCATATGTCAAAATTTTGATGCGTTTTATTATATGAATAATAAATATCTATGTAAGACCATTGAAACTTAAGTAATACTTGAAGATATCATTTAAAGGCTTCAGATATTATAATTCTATAACAATAATAAGTAAAGTAAAGGCCCTCCCGTTGATCATCGATTTGCTCGAGTGGGTCCAGTAACGTCACCATTGGAGACTTTGTTGTTACTATATTTGGCATATCGAATACGTCACGGGGAGCTTGCCAGGCTCTGCCGTGCGGGCGAGATACTCTCGGTAGCTTGCCGGGTTCTCCAAGAGGGGCGCAGGAATTGAACTCGAATTGGCCATGCTGGCTGCGTGCAAGAACCACTTTGGAAAATCAGCACTTTAGATGTGATAAAATAACCAAAATATTCAAAAACAATTAATTTACAAGATAGGAAAAGGAAAACACTTCAAATAACCTATAAAATGCAGATATAAACATATGTAAATAACAAAATATAGGAAATAGTTTTTATTTCTATAAGGATGAAAGAATGTAAGAAATTACAATGCAGTAAAAATTAGTATAAAAATTAATTAATTGCTAAAAATCTACTTTATTGATATCTATCAAGTGTATACTTTTCTAGTCTGACAATTCCATTTTGACAAAAAGAAAATATCAATGCTCAAAGATATTGTTTTAAACAAAACTTATATTGAAGCAAAACAGGTAAATCAAGATTTTCCATCTTTTAATAAAATATGACTCCTAAATTAAAACTATATAATTAATTGCTCTGTGCTTTTTATAGGAATTAGGTGTAATCTATTCGTGTATCAAACCCAAATATCTTCATATAGTTCAGGGCAAAATAGAATTCATAATGCATGGCAAATCTAATAAAATTTAACCTGTATACTAAGTTTATAGGTTTTTCATATATATTTAAATATTTAGAAGCATAAGCTACGCTATTGGGAGTGATTGCCTTTTTTGAGATCAAATATTGCAGAGTTTAAAAGGGAAATTCTGTACTCTCAAAAATCTGTATCTTAAATATATCCATTACAGTTTCGTTAATTTCATCTTTTTAAAAATGTACTCAGAAAGCATTTGAAAGTATTACATAATACATTGTGAATAACCAAGGATTTTTTTCACTAGATAGGGAGATAGATATTAAATACACCAATCATTACTATTATTTGAAGTAGCCATAATTAATCAAAGTGATAGTTGGTCAAAACACTGTATCCTGAAACTTTTGTGTTTTTTATTTTAATTTTTATGTAGGAGTACTGCTATTTATTCAGCCATTGATTAGCTGATTGAATTGGGCATCAACTCTACCTTACTTTTTTTTTTCATTTTTTATAAGTTTTTATTGAATCACCGTGAGAGCAGTTACAAAGCTTTCGGGTTTAAGTCTCGGTCATACAATGAAACACCCGTACCTTCACCAGTGCCTATTCTCCACCACCAAAAACCTCAGTATACCTCCAACTCACACCCTCCCCCTACCTTTGGGGCAGATGATTTCCATATTACTCTCTCTCTCTCTCTACTTTGATTACATTCAATATTTTGACACCAGACCCACCATTATTATTTGGGATTTTACCCCAACACTCAGATCTGCTGAAAAGGCAACAGTAGACAATTTGTTTTCTATTGCTGGTTATGAATAACATATGATGTTGCATGGCTGCAAGAGTGGCCTCGTAATTTTGAAATTCTGAAGTTTTAACACTTAAATCTGGATGAATTTTCTGCCAAAACCTGCTGGATTCTGAGATTTGTTCCTGAGTCTCTGGGATCATGGTCGTTAAGAAGCTTGATCAGGGGCCAGAAAGGCCGTTCATGAGCGATGACTCAGAGTCTCGGGATGGGGAGGAAAGGGCCGGCTCCATCCCCATCCCATGAGACCCCGCGTGTCTCATCACTGTAGCCCCAAACCTGACTGCCCAACGGCCTCTGGAGGATGGCGACCACTAAGTGGCCTAGGGGGAGCAGCCAGAGGGACAACACTCTTTCCCCCCTGGGGTGGCCCAGTGACAGTAACGTACTGTGTGGTCTGGACGCATTTCTGCCAAAAGCCACTGGGTTCTGAGATTTGTTTCTGAGTCTCTGGGATCATGACTGTTAAGCAGCTTGATCATGACCCAGAGAGGCCATTCATGGGCAATTACTCGAGTCTCATTGGGGTGGGGAGGAAAGGGCCATCTCCACCCCCATCCTGTGAGGCCCCACATGTCTCATCACTGAGGCCTCAAACCTGACTGTCCAATGGCTTCTGGAGGATGGCAGCCACCGAGCTGCCTAGGGGCAGCAGGCAGAGGGACAGCACTCTTTCCCCTCTGGGTTGGCCCGGTGAAGCTACCTACTGAGGGTCCAGATGCATTTCTGCCAAAAGCCACTGGGTTTCGAGATTGTTTCTGAGTCTCTGGGATCATGGACATTAAGCAGCTTGATCAGGAGCCAGAGAGGCCATTCGTGGGAAGCAACCCGGCATCTCGTTCAGATAGGGAGGAAAGGGCTGGAACTTTTGGCCGTTGACTTTCTTGGTAAAGTTTGCACCAAGTTGTTGGGGTCTGGCCAAAGGCACAGCAGCAATTTTGGGGTATCTGGAAGTGAAGGCGCCATCAGGCTGCTGATGCACTTGCCTCACAGATACAGATTGATCTGCTGGCAGCACCATACCCCTACTTTTTTGTGTTTTTTAATTTGCTCGAGCAGGTCCAGTAACGTCTCCATCATGAGACTTGTTGTTACTGTGTTTGGCATATCGAATACGTCATGGGGAGCTTGCCAGGCTCTGCCGTGCGGGTGAGATACTCTTGGTAGCTTGCCGGGCTCTCCGAGAGGGGCGGAGGAATCGAACTCAGGTCGGCCATGTTGGCTGCTTGTAAGGCAAATGCCCTACCGCTCCATAAATTTTGATATATAAAATAAAGACTTTGTTACTTTCATGTATGCATAAATATCATATAAATGTATAATAACAAAAATTTTATTGTTTTGTTTTTGTTTGGGGGCCACACATGACTGTGCTCCAGGATCACTCTTGGTGGGGCTGGGGGAATCATAGGGATAAAGCACGGGTCAGCAGTGCGCATGGCAAACACATTATTTACTGTTTTATTCCTTCAGCCCCAAAGATTTCACATTTTATAATCCAATTCACATTTTTTAGAGGCCATGTGCTGTGTTTCCTGGGACTGAAGACAGCTGGGAGGGAGATTGCCTTGCAGGTGACTTAAAAGTATTGGATCAATGGCATCTCATAAAGTTCCCAGCATCACCAGGGTAATTCCTGAGTGCAGAGCCAGGAGAGTAACCCTTTAAAATTTCCAGATGTGGTCCAAGCCCTCCCCCATACACCCAAAATATAGTTACTTGCAGTGTCTTATTTTTAAATATATTATTCTTATTTATTGATAGGATGAGTACCAAGAGCAATGCTATAAACATCCTTTTTTATTAAAATAACACAGGTCTTCAAGATTTCACATAATTCAAGAGTACATATGTACACCTCTACAAACTCTATGTTACTGTAACACACCCACAATGACACTAAAAATGTCACACCATTACGGTCCATTGAATGCACTTGCTGTTGTGACTCATCTCTTCCCTCTCCGGTACTGTCAGTGCTGTGATCTGACTGTAAGGATTTTCTTTCTTGTTGACCTTGGCTTGTCTATTGAATTTCTAATTTATAAGTTTAAAAAAACTTTTATCATTTGTTTTGCTCCTTCTGATTTATTTTGTTTATTATATCCCTTCAGAGTTTCATTCATGCTGTCACAAGAGAAACACTTTGTCTTTCCTTTTAGTGAAACAGCTCTAACATTGCAGATGTAAATATATTTTCTCTAAGTACTCCTGTCTAATTAGGCACTTTAATTTCATATATAGCTTAGCTATTGTTAATAGTGCTGCAGTGGATATAGGTGTACATATGAATTTTTGAATAAATGTTTTTGAGTAATTTAGATAGTTTTTAGGTAGTTTTTGGGTAATTTAGTTTTCGAACTACTTAGCTTTGAAAATTCTTAGTCAAACATCTATACTTCTAATTCTTTTTGCTAATATTATACTACTTTCTGAAGAGACTGTACCAGTTTATGTGCACCAGCAGTGTAAGGATGTTTCCATATATCTTTAAACCCATTTTCTATCACCAGGTGTTTCTGGTATTTTTTTTTTTACATAAACCCCTAACACATGGGTTAGGTGATATCTCATTTGTGGTTTTATTTCATTTCAATAATAACTAACAATAAATACACATATGTCTGATGACCATCTATGTCTTTGTGAAGAGTATGTCTTGCTCATCTACTTGGGTTTTTAAAGATTCACTAAAAATTCATTTCCTAAAAATTCATTTTTAGCAAATTATTCATAACAAGTAGTACAAAATTAATTATTTTGGCTCTGCATTAGAGCAGGGTTTTAGGTTTGGGATGGAAACATTTGAAATATGGTGGTGAGAAGGTGTAATGGTGGTGTATTGTTTGAATATTAAATGCACTCAAATATTGTAAACAACTTTATAAAATTAATATTAAATTAAAAAATCTTTTTAATTTACATTGGAGGTGGGGTGGGGGTGGGGTTTATTGGGGTTCTTCGTGGTGAAAAATATGTATTGGTAAAGGGAAATATGATTGATATTTGCATGACCGAGACCTAAACCTGAAAGCTTTGTAACTTTTCCCACAGTGATCAATAAATAAATTTAAAAAAATCTTTTAAATAGATCAAAGCAACAATTCTGAGCGTGGAACATTATGAAAAGGAAAACAAAATCAAGAATATCTCAGATGTTGAAAGGGACCCTCCTTCACTGCTGGTGGGAATGCCGTCTGGTTCAGCCCTTTTGGAAAACAGTATGGACGATTCTCCAAAAATTAGAAATTGAGCTCCCATTTGACCAGCAATACCACTCCTGGGAATATATCCCAGAGAAGCAAAAAAATATAGTCGAAGTGACATCTGCACTTGTTTGTTCATTGCAGCACTCTTTACAATAGCCAGAAACTGGAAGAAACCTGAATGCCCAAGAACAGATGACTGGTTAAAGAAACTTTGGTACATCTACACAATGGAGTACTATGTAGCTGTTAGAAAAGATGAAGTCATGAAATTTACATACAAGTGGTAATACATGGAAAGTATCATGTTAAGCGAAGTGACTCAGAAAGAGAGGGATAGACATAGAAAGATTGCATTCATCTGGGGAACATAAAGTAACAAAATAGAAGACTAACACCCAAGAATGGCCGAGATTAGTACCAGGAATTTTGTTCCATGGCTTGGAGGCCAGCCACACATGCTAGGGGAAAAGGGAGCTCAGATAGAGAAGGGAGCACCAAATAAAGGGTGTTGGGAGGATCCTCCCAGGATGGGAGAAGCATGCTGAAAGTAGACTATAGACCAAACATGATTTTCATTCAATGCCTCTTTTGAGAAAACACAACACCCAAAAGGAGAGAGAGAAGAGAGGGGAATGCCCTTCCATAGAGGCAGGGTGGGGTGGGGGGAGATGGGAGGTGGGAGGGATTCTGGGATCCGTGGTGGTGGGAAATGGGTACAGGTGAAGGGATGGGTATTTGACAATTGTATAATTGAAACCCAAGCACAAAATTTGTAAGTCTACAACTGTAACTCATGGTGTCTCACTAATAAAATTTTTTAAAAAATTCATTTAACCTGTAAGAACAGCAGCAAGAAATGTATATACATGGAAACCTAAATATACAAAAATATTTTAATATAAATACATTATAAATAACATAGTAACTATAAATTCAAACTTTCCTTTCAATCTACCACACAGATGGATTCTTCACAGTCTGACTATTTTGAAAACTTTGGCAGAGTCCATGGTGTTTTATTGTACAAACCCTTTATCAAATATTGGGATGATGTGGAAACATTTCAGGCAAGAGAAGATGATGTTGTGATTGCGACCTATCCCAAGTCTGGTAAGTCTTGTTTGTTCAAAACCATTTTCTTTTTTCCTAGAAATGAGAATGCCACCTTGATATTGATAGTATATGTATGTATGTATGTATAGATATAATGTTATTTTTTCTACTTTATTCTCTATATTAATAAGGATCACTGAAACAGTTTTGATAAATATCAAACTTGTAAAATTTTAATCCTATTCTTAAACCATAATAAAAACCTAACTTTTGAGCATATAATTGTTCAATTATTCTGCATCTTGCTGCCTTAAGTAGTTATCTCATCATTTCTCTAAGCACTGGGATCAAAGGTGATCTAGCCATTCTCCTTATATTATATTTCCCCATCTAGTATTCTATAGGGCTGGAGCAGGTAGACCATTTGCCTTGCATGTGGCTGACCCGGGTTTGATTCCTCTATCACTCTCGGAGAGCCTGGCAAGCTACCAAGAGTATATTGCCTGCACGACAAAAGCCTGGCAAGCTATCCGTGACATATTTGATATGCCAAAAGCAGTAACAACAAGTGTCACAATGTGTTGTGACACATTACTGGTGCCCGCTCAAGCAAATTGATGAACAACAGGAGGACAGTGCTACAGTGTACTTGAGCAGAAAAGAAATATATATCGCTTGCCACTATAGAAATTTATATAATTAAGCACAGTTAAATAAATAAACAACTAACTTTGAACTTACAAAGTATGCTTAGCTTATACAATTATCTTATGGACAAAGAGAAAACAACTTCCATGTTTATAAAGTAACACTTTTAGGATAGAGAGTTCAACCAACTGAAGACATGCTTTGCATGAAAGCTATCTGGACTTCATCCCCTAACACTGCATAGCCCTTATGAACCACCAGGAATAGCCCCTGAGCACTGAATCAGCACTGAATTATCACCTCTGAGTATCACTAGGTGTGAACAAAGATCAAAACAAACAAAATTCATTCTTTTACATTGCACAGATCTTCATCTTTAACTCTGCTTTTCTTTTTTTGGTTCTACTTTGAGTTATACTCAACTGAGCTCAATGCTTACTCCTGGCTCTGCACTCAGTAGACACTCCTAAAGGATCACGCTGATGGGGCTCATGGGGCCATATACAATGCAGAAATCAATCTGGGGAATTGCGTGTGCAATTCAAGGGCCTTACCTACTGTACCATGTCAGCCCCCTTTACTCCACTTTTTAAACTTCATTTTTAAGAACTTTTTCATGAGATTAACTCAATTATTAGTCATATCATGGGGTATTGTTTAAGACTCCTTATCTTTCATTTTATCCAAATTAAATGCAAAACATTTATCAGCTCATATACTATCAGAATTCATGGATAAATTGGACACAGGCTATAGGTATGTTTTAGTACAATATTGGTTCTTATACTTATTTTTGTGTACTATAAAATAAAATATTAAAAATATATTACTGGTTTCTATCTCTATTCTAACTCCTTTCAAGTTATACTGCATTTATTTTTCAACTTTGTTTGATATGCTGTAAATTCATCATTCCTATCATGTGTGATTATTGGTAAACAATAAAATTCTTAATTGCTTAAGCATTTTATAGGAAATTGCTTAATCTTTTATAGGTACAACTTGGGTGAGTGAAATTGTAGATGTGATCTACAAAGAAGGTGACGTGGAAAAGTGCAAACAAGATGCCATTTTTAATAGAGTACCTTTTCTGGAGTGCAGAAATGAGGATTTGTTAAATGGTAATTTTTGCATAGATTTTTTTTAAATTGCTGATATAAGTTGGTGACATAAGTTGAGGTACATATGTGAATGATACAAGAAGAAAGAATAAGTAAAATCGACAATAAGTACTGTCTTCTGCATAGGAGAGAATGTACATTTAAATTTAAATCTTGATACAGTTTATATCATAGCATGTGACTGGAATAAAGAGATTGAGGATAACTTTTATATGTGTTTAGCAGAGATTAATAATTTGCATTTTCTCTCTAATATCTAAAGAGATATTACTTTAACACTTGAAAAATATTCATAACTATTTCAAGAATATGTGAAAAATTATATTAATCACAGATTTTGTTTTGAATTGTCAATAATTAGAAACAGCATAAATGCAGAATCAGTAATAGAATAGTTAATATGATTTTAATGTAATTTTATGAAATCTTCAAAAATTTTAAAAAGCTGTATAATCCTTGGCAGAAATTGCAATTAACTTTCATAGACTGAAATTAATTATAATTTTAGTTTAATAATTGAGGAAAAAGGAAACTTGATGTCAAAAGTTCATTTTTTTATGTAGAAGACTATAATTCTTGGATAAATAGACATATTTTTATGGACAACTGCTTACCAAAAAGTTAGTAATAATTTTTCAAGGTGGTGAAATGTTATTTGTACTGATTTTATTCTAGTATTATTTCTTACTTTATTATAATAAGTCTCAACTATTATTGAATACTACGTAGTCTTATTTTCACTGCAATTTTGAATAAAGGTCATATAAATATTCATGTTTTTTATTGTTTTAAATCAGGAGTGAAGCAATTAAAAGAGATGGCATCTCCTAGGCTCGTGAAGACACATCTGCCACCTAAACTTCTTCCAGCATCATTCTGGGAAAAGAATTGCAAGGTAACTAAAGTCATTATTTATAGAACTTAATTCAAGTCAAAAATTGTGGGATGATGAATTCAAGTAATAAGTAATGTGTGTATATTATTTTTTATTCTTTGCATGAATTTATGGAAATTTAATAATTATGGATTATAATCAACATAATAGTCTAGAGTTCAATTCCAACTCCAAAGGTCACCTTGACAAACATAAGTAAACTCTTTTTTCTTTATTGATTCACTGTGAGCTAGATTGGGTTTCAGTCATACAATGTTCCAACACTCAACCCTCCACCAGTGTAATTTCCCAGCAGCAGGGTCCCCAGTTTCCCTCCCAGCCCTTCAAGCTACCCCTCACCCCATCTTGCCTCTAGTGAAGACACACCACTTCTCTTATTCTCTCTTTCTCTATCTTATTTTAGACATTATTGTTTACAATACAGATGCTGAATAGTTTTCATGTATATCCCTTTGTCTGCTTCCAACACTCAGTTCTTGTCCAATTGATCATTGCCAACTACTATTGTCATAATGGACCCTCCTCTATCTTAACTACCATCCATCTCCCACACCATTGACCAACCATTGACCAGTCCTTCTGGTCCATTCTCCCTGGCATTGGGTATTAGTGTCATTCTGTATTTTTTGATATCCCACAAATAAATGCAGTCAGTCTATATTTGTCCCTCTCCTTCTGACTCATTTCACTCAGCATGATACTCTCCAAGCATCATTTCTAGGAAAATTTCATGACCTCCTTTTTTTTCTAACAGCTGTACAGTATTCTATTGTGTAGATATACCATAGTTTCTTTATCATATGTCTAGGGCATTCAGATTGGTTCCAGCTACTGACTATTGTGAATAGTGCTGCAATGACCATAGTAGTGCAGATGCTGTTTCTTTTGTGGGTCTATAGATTCCCAGGATATTCCCAGAAGTTTATTGTTGGCTAAAATAGAAGCTCAATTTTTAGTTATTTTGTGGAATATCCATATTGTTTTCCAAATGCTGGATCAGTCAGCATAGCCACCAGCAATGAATGAGGATTCCTTTCTCCCCACATCCACACCAGCACTGGTTGTTCTTGGTCATTTGGATGTGTGCCAGTCTCTGTGGTATAAGATGATATTTCATTGTTTAAACTCTATTTTAGTCACTTTTTTGTTAAAAAATGATAATACCAGTATATGTTAGTTGCATAAGTAGTTATTAATAATTTTGTTAAATTTATTTGTCTTCAAACTATTGTTTTTGACAATGTAAAACATGAAAATGTAGCAGGCAATAAACCACAAAAATAAATACTTATTGAGTACACATCTTGTGCCATCAATATAATAATTCCCAAGATAATTGCAAACATGGATTCATAGACATATCCCCTGAAAGAAAAGAACAAGTTAAAAAGAAAATTCAGGGTAAGTAAAGTAAGAAAGGAACTCTAATACAGTCATTGAGGGCAGAAAATCCAGACTAAATAATATCTCACTTTATGTTTGAAAGCTGCATAGGAGTTAATCTTTACACTATCAGAGAAAATGAAAGGACATCTGAAATCAATTCAGTTTAGCTTGAACTTTGCATATATGTAGTAGCCGATTTCAGTTAGAGATAAGCAATTTTTATTACTACAGATAAAATAAAAGGGATTCATAACAATCACTGAATATTTTCATTCTGTACTTTGATTATATATAACATATTCGACATTTTTAAATTTCTAACTATGCCATGTTTCTTGTTTAATTGATGCTTTAATAAATGCAATCCCAAATATGCTAAATATACTTTGATGTGTTTTTTTATACATAAAGGCTCTAATTGTAAAATACCATTTACATATTTTCTAAGAGATGTACTACTACTTTTACATAATATTTAACCAACTTATATGTTAAATACTATGCTTTGGATAGTAGTTTATTGTGATACATTACTTTAGAAATTTACTCTGCATTCACCTTGGAGTGTTTGTAGTTCAGGTAATGGTGATTGATTAAGAAGAGGGAAGAGGGAAGATGCAGAACTTATTAAATAAAACAAGAATTCTAATTTAAGGCTTCAAAATGTAATCTTTAGTGATCTGACTTGATTTATAATTTGATTACAAAAACTAGTATCTGTCACTGTCCTCCCGTTGTTCATCAATTTGCTCGAGCGGGCCCAGTGACGTCTCCATTGTGAGACTTTGTTGTTACTGTGTTTGGCATATCGAATATGTAATGGGTAGCTTGCCAGACTCTGCCGTGGGGGCGAGATACTCTCGGTAACTTGCCAGCCTCTCAAAAACTAGTATAACTTAAGAAAAATAAAGGTAATTTTCAATGAATACAGTAATCTAGATAATACTATAAATCATGCATATAAATATTAAAATTGCACAAGATGTTGGCATGGAGAACATCATGAAATAGCACTCAAATATTCTATTATCAAGAGAATGATGACAGATTAAAAATGATATTATTTGGGGCTGGAGCGGTAGAACAGTGGGTAGAGCATTTGCCTTGCGATCGGCCAACACGGGTTCAATTCCCAGCATCCTATGTGGTCTCCTGAGCACTTCCAGGAGTAATTCCTGAGTACAGAGCCAGGAGTTACCCCTGTGCATTGCAAGGCGTGATCCTAAAAGCAAAAAAAAATGTTATTTGAAAGAAGTATGGATTGTATATCACAGGAACAGACTTTTAAAATATAGAATTGACTACTCATTTATTTATTTATTTATTTTTGTTTTATGGGTCACACCTGGCAATGCACAGGGGTTACTCCTGGCTCTGCACTCAAGAATTACCCCAGGCGGAGCTCATGGGACCATATGGGATGCTGGGAATCGAACCCAGGTCAGCCGCATGCAAGGCAAACGCCCTACCAGCTGTGCTATTGCACAGGCCCCAAACATTTTCTTATTCTTAATTTTTTTAATGAATCATCGTGAGATATATTTAAAAAGCTTTTGTGATCAGGTTTCAGTTATACAATATTCCAACATCCATCTCTCCACCAGTGTGCGTTTTCCACCACTAATATTTCCCATATTTCTTCTGCCACCTGTCACCCCCCCAACCACCAAGTCTGCCTCCATGAAAGGCACTATTCTTCTCTCTCTCTCTCTCTCTCTCCTCTCCTCTCCTCTCAACTTCCCTGTCTCTCTGAACATTATGTTTTGCATTATAGATACTGAGAGACCATCATGTTTGGTCCTTTACCCACTTTCATCACACATCTTTCACCCAGAGTGATCCCTTCCAACCATCCAACCATCATTGTCATAGCGATTCTGTTTTTTATTTTTTTGCTTTTTTGGATCATACCTGGCAATGCACAGAGCTTACTCCTGGCTCTGCACTCAGGAGTCCCTTCTGGCAGTGCTCAGGGGACCATATAGGATGCTAGGAATCGAACCCAGGTTGGCCATGAGCAAGGCAAACACTCAACCTGCTGTGTTATCGCTCAAGCCCCATCATAATGACTCTTAAGATGCATTATGATCCCAAGTGAATTTGGGATAAATTAGCAACTGTGACTTGAGGAAACTGTAAGCAAAGTCGTATTTTTAGAAAAGACTAGATATTCCTCAAAAATAGGTAGAAAATAAGTTTGACTTGGGCTGGAGCGATAGCACAGCGGTAGGGCGTTCGCCTTACAAGCGGCCAACGTGGCCGACCTGAGTTCAATTCCTCTGCCTGTCTCGGAGAGCCCGGCAAGCTACGGAGAGTATTCGATATGCCAGACACAGTAACAACAGTCTCCAATGGAGGCATTACTGGGCCCGCTAGAGCAAATCGACTTGTAGAATAGAACTGTCAAAATACAGATAAGATGAACTAGTGAGGATTTCCTGCATGGCAGAGCCTGGCAAGCTCCCCATGGCGTGTATGATATGCCCAAAATAGTAACAATAACGGATATCATTCCCCTAACCCTGAAAAAGGCTCCAATAGGACACTGATGGGAAGGACGAGTAAGGAGAGGCTGCTAAAATCTCAGGGCTGGGATGATTGGAGATGTTACTAGTGCCTGCACAAACAAATTGATGAACAATGGGATGACAGTGATACAGTGATAAAGTGAGGATTAAGAGAAAGAGATACTTGCTTTAACTACCTCTTTTTCCTGTTTAGAATGAAAGAGCAAAAAGATTTCTGGAAAGCCTGAAACGAAGCCGTAAAAAAAAAAAAAAAAACACGGGCATGGGTTTTGAGATATAGAGACCATTCAACTAGAAGAAATAGCATGAACAAAGGAAAGGAGTAAAAATTCTGATGTAAATTTCTGTGTGTAACTGGCAAAGACTTCAATTTTTCTAATAGACAGAACTAGGGATATATTTAAATATGATGGGGAAAATTCAACATGACCGTGACAAGAAAATAATGCTCACTTCTATGGCAAAGTTTTTATAGTAAAACTAAAAAATTAAGACAATATTAGCTAAAATATTCTACAAGTGTTTTTAAAAAGTTAAATGTAGAGATTGCAAGAAAATAAAGGTAATTACTTTAATCAGATTGGTAAACAATAGACATTCAAGAGCAGCTTTTCCAAATAGTATTACTCTGGAATCTTGGAGCTCCAGAAATAGGAAAATATAGCATAAAAGAGTTTGTTTTTGCAGATGTTTTTCTTGCAGCTTTGAGTGTCAAATTTGGAAGAGATGATCAAGATTTAATCCGATATGTGGCCTACTTGTAACTAGGAACTTTGGGCCTAAAATTATTTTTCAAATGATAGACATTCCTAGTGCCAGTAATAGTAGCTAAAATCGGTATTTCACTTTTGCTATTTGGTTGACATTTTCTCTAGTAGTAAAGGGAAAATCAGCAAGGTTTAGGGGATTTTCACTGAGATCAGTTATGCATTACAATAAACCCTCAAGAATCTTCCTTGAAGATTGTGAGGGAACAAGATTTTCTCTTCATTATTCTTAATAGTGGAATTGTACAATTTACTGAACTGAATGATTTACTAAATTATTTATCCTCATGGATTTGTTTTCAGTATGTAATCTAAGCTTCAATTTAGGCTCTTTACTTATGTATTTCTAGATACTTTTTGGCCCAATTTTTTTTGAGGGTGCAAAATTGGGCGACTCCTTGTGATGCTCATGGGCTCTTCCTAACTGTGCTGAGTAGGGACCCCTTGGGCTACTGAGGGACCATATGTGGTGACACAAGGGTAATCAGAGTCAGCTTCATTGCATGGTAAGTGTCTTAATCATGGTGTTGCCTCTCTAGCCTCTCTGGTCCAGTTTTTTTTTTATTTAATGGAATTTATGATAAAAAGTTAAGTCTTCCATGTGAAAATTAAATAAAAATTAAAAATTAGAATTTAAATTTAAGAATTATGCAATTAATATTGGATTTTAGTCTATAAGCCTATTCTTTTAGATACTGCCTACAATAATTATGGCCTATATTTATGATTTGAAGCTTCCTTTTTAAGATACTTTTAAGACTATTTTTAAAAAAATAATTCAATATATTCTTTGATCTTTTTAGATTATATATCTTTGCAGGAATGCAAAAGATGTGGCTGTTTCTTATTATTACTTCTTTAAAATGGTGCCTGTTCACCCAAACCCTGGCTCCTTTCCAGAGTTTGTGGAAAAATTTATGGACGGGCTGGGTAAGTTTGTCCCTTCCTTCTTTCCTCCCTTCCTTGTTCCCTCCTTCCCTCTCTCTCTCCCTACCTTCCTCACTCCCTCAGTTCCTCCCAAACTTCCTTCTTATGCCCTACCTCCCTCTCTCCTTCTATACCCAAAAATGTTTGGATATTTCTTTCAATTTGAAAATGGGGTAGTGGTTTCTCTGTGTAATGCTTGTGGACCCATGTGGTGGTGGCATTCAACTTGGGGCCCTTTACACAAAACGTGAGTTCAGCCTCTTGAGAAATTTACCTCGCTCAGATTAAGTTCAACTACATTTTATCTGAAAAATTTAAAGAAGACAAACATCTATGAGAGGGAAAACATCTCAGATCTTGAATTAAAACAGAGAAGTTCTATGCGGGTTCCAGGGCTGAATCTCCAGCCGGCATGGTAGCAGAGGACCTGTGCTGCCCATCCCCGGGTCCCCGCAGGCCCAGTAGACTGGCTGTCTCACCCATAACTTGCCTACGGGTACCACTTAGCACACCAAGAACCATGGCCCAGGGATTCCCAAGTGAATCCCAAAATGGATTAGTGACATACAAAGATGTCTTTGGAACCCAACCATTTACAATCTAAAAATTTACATTTACAATCATGGTCATGTGAGCTCTCATGATATTCAAAGTGAGCAATGAAAAATAAATTATCTAGTGTCTGCCACTGGCAGGTAGGCTTGAATGTTGGTGGGAAATTTCAGGCAAAACATAATGCCCAAAATTAGAGAGAGTATTGGAGAAGTTGTCTGCGTAGAGGCAGGGTGAGGACTGGGTGGTGGAAAATGTGCACTTGTGGAATGAGGGGTGTTTTATCATTTTACGGCTGAATCTCAAACATGAAAGCTTTATAACTCTATCTCACGGTGATGCAATTTAAAAAAAAGTAATATGGAATTCATGCCCAATTCAATTTGCTTAATCAATCACTGATCAAATAGTAGTACTCCTACATTATTTTTTAAAAATTTAAAGAAAAAAACAGAGAAGTTCTAGAAAACCTTGGAAATTATAGAATTTCCAGTTACATAAGGCAAATTCTAAGTATAGACCTTTCCTTTCAATACTTAAGAACAAATTTATAGACATTTTTCTATCTAGATTTCATACTTATCCTTTGATATATGTTCATTGTCCTATTATCTTTCTGCCTTTATTTTATTTTATGTAGAAAAAGTATATCATAATATACCACTGAAACTCCAGTAGCACAAACAAAAAGGAATAGAGGAGAGAGAATTACCACATATTTTTTCCCAAAATTTCAGTTGATTTTTGGGGTCAAATTGGCTGTAGACATATTCAAAAAGATATTATCCATCCCACCCAGTGCATAGCCTAAATCTTTTGTTTAGATATATTAGAATCGTACAGTGATTATCTTGAACATAGATAACAGAAAAGTTTACTTATCTACCTAACTCCAGACTAATGCAAACGATAAATGTACAATTGGATTCAAGAAAGAAAGGATTCAGTATGATCTCAGATTGACTGTAGAAGGACATTCGATACTAATGAGAAAACTATTAAGCAATTGACTCCATAAAGATAAGACATGCATACTTTCTTTGTTTTACATTTTAAGAGAATTATTGTGACCTAGAACAGGAAACAGTACAGTAGGGCAGGGTGCTTGTAAATGGCCATTCTGGCACTGTATACAATCCCTAGTGTACCACCAGTAATGATCTCTTAGCACAGACCCAAGAGCAAGACCTGAGCACTGCCAGATGTGCTCTGCAACTAAGAAAGAAATAGTAGAAGAAAACTTAAAGATATAATTAAACATAAACAGATATATCTCATTATGGCAAAAAAACTGCCATATTGCAAAGCAGAAAGATAATACTTTACCTCTATAAAAAGGGATGGATGCTATAATTATAAATGTCATTACACAAATATTTTTGTAAAGAAAAATTAACCAGGGTGTTTGCCTTGCATGACTGAACTGCATTTGATCTGAGGCACAGTATATGCTACCCTGAGCACCAAGAGCACCTGAGTGCAGAGCCAGGAATAACATCTGAGCATAGCTGGGTGTGAGCGCTAAACAAAAATTAAAAAAAAAAGAAGAAAAAATTAACCAGGAGGTGGGGGAAGATATTCATTTTAAAGCAAGATCTTAGTGAAAACCAGAATACCTCAATATTTTCACTCATATATCGTTGTATTTTCTTGTAGTTTTTTATTTTTATATTTTCAATTTTTTAGTTTTGGTTTTTCACTTTTTTTTCCTCATGAGAGTTTGGGCCACACCTGTCTTGCTCAGGGATTTCTCCTGGATTATGCTCAGAATTCATTCCTGGCTGTGTTAAGAAGACAACATTGAAGCTATGCAACATATTCTGACTATGGAACCAGGTTCATCCACTAGTAATGCATATACCTTAACTATGTACTATGTACTATGTCTCTAGCCCAAGATTAAGTACTTGGATATAAAGACAAACAAGAAAAATAAAAGAATAGTTTCTAGTTGATATGCTATATCTTTTTTATGAGGAGAATTACAATAAGAATCTGTAACATCTTTTACATCTATATTGAAATTAGTGTTTTAAAACTGTTTTCTAATTTTAGCTCCCAAAGCTAATTTGTAAGTGACAAATTTCAGATTGGACTGAATTATGATGATTGAATGTTGAAATTACCACTAATTTAATTCTCTTATTAGAAATTTGATTTTGCACACATACATTAACATACACAGGAACAGACATACAGACATTCTGTTTTCAAAAACACCAGCAAACTATGAATAATATTGATAAACTGACGAAGGTCATTTACTATTCTCTGCATCACAAATTGTGCCCTTTATAAATGTTGAGAATATGTTTCTCTGTGGATTATTCAACATATTTTGATTTTCCAGCCTTAAGCAAACTTCTAGAAATTTACTTAAGATGTATAGCTGGTCTTAATTTTTGTTCCATTATAATTTGTCTATATATATAGTTTTTGATTGTAAGGCTGACATCATTTTCAAATTGTATAAAGGTGACACTATGCTCTGATGTGGATTTTATTTCTAATTTTAGTTCCATATGGTTCTTGGTATGAACATGCAAAATCATGGTGGGAAAAGAGAAAAAATTCATCAGTTCTATTTATTTTCTATGAAGACCTAATAGAGGTGAGAAACTGAATATATATATATATTCAAATTGTTTATGTATAACTCTCTATTTTTGTCATTAGTGGCCATAGATACTTTTCCCTACATTTATATCACTGAGGATTTAATAAGGATCATATTATTATCTCATGTTTATATTTTCTAATTAAAAATAGAATAATGCATATAAAATTGTCTGTAGATATATTGAGTTTTATAAAATAAATTCATGGATATTAAACCTTTTATGAATTAAGATATAGTATAGCAGTTTACATGGAAATATATGGGAAAAAAACAAGATAAAAAAGAGATAATTAAGTCAAATTCTAATAACCAAAAAAAATTCAAAAGACGGTTATAATTAAGCTGAAGCTTAAGAGGCAACATGTAATTTGTTGAGCGAAAGACTTAATAATGACATTCTGAGTCATAATTGTTACTGCAAAAGTTGTATTAAATAAGTTGACTGCATAATAACATTATAAGTGCTCTAGACAGAAATTATATTTTCTTATACAGCCGATGTTTTGTGGTGACTGTATGACTTTTTATATATTTTCTAAATCCTTCTAGTATTTTTTGTTTCATGACAAACATATTGATGAACAATAATAAAAGTATAAACTCAGTGAATATTTTCATGTCACAAGAAACTCTTTGTAGTCTTTGCTTGCATTTCTGGGGTCATGCAAATCTCAACTTGAAATATTTAATCCTTTATTTTACTTTATAGCTAGCCTAAGTCTCTGCCCTTCAAGAAGCCCATATTTTCTCCTTAATGCATACCATTCTCATTCACTCTACTTCCCTTCTCATACTTCCAAAATAAAACTTACACTTTGAAAAATTAAAAGTAAATTTAGTCTTTAAGAATGTAGCCCTTAAGAATATATACTAAGATTTATTATAACAGATAATTGAGCATGAACTATATACATCAAGGAGAAAAGTATTTCATAAATATCACTTTATTCAATGGTAAACAATCTCAAATTTTATTCAAAGATAACAATCTGAAGTTTCTGAAATGCTAAAACGATGAGACAGAAAGTATGATAGTACAGCAGACAGGGAACTAGCCTTGCATGCTACTTACCCAGCTTTAATTTCTTGCATCCCATATGGTAACCCAAGGCCTGCTAGGATTGATCCCTAAATTCAGAGCCAGAAGTAAGCCCTGGGAATGACTGGTGTGAGGCTACCTTCCCGCCAATACAAAAAATCCCTAAAACATAATTTGGGGGCTGAAGGAATAGACAGAGTTTAAGAATTATATGTTGAACAAACATATCCAATCCCCATTCAATCATTAGCACCACATGGTCCAAGAACAAACCAGGTGGCCCAGGTGGTCGCCATCACCAGAATCCCAGAAGCACTGCACTATCTTTGAGTTCTAGCATTTCAACGTCTGGTTATATTGGTAAAGGATCATCACAGTGAGTAGCCCCCTCACGTCTCCTGAGCACAGGTTGAGAGTGAAATCTAAGAGAAATCGATTTCCCCCAGAAGTATTTTTATTACTAGTAGTCAAATTTCAGTAATTGTGGGAAGAAAAACATGTATTTTTCCTCTTTTTCATTATTGGGGGAGGAGGGATGAGAACACCCAATGGTACCTAGAGCTGAGTTCCTGGCTCCATATTTAGGGATTATACTTGGCAGTGCTCAGGAAACACTAAGCTGTGCTGGAACATGAATGGGAATGGCTGCATGGAAGGCAAGCACCCTAACTCCTTATTCTTCTTCAGAACCCTCAAGTCTCTTTTCTTTGAATCCAAAGCAAAAATTTATTCATCTCCAGCAGAGTGCATGTCCAAATTAATGTTTTCCCTTTCTAGGATATCAGAAAGGAAGTGATAAAATTGATACAATTTCTGGGAAGAAAACCCTCAGAAGAACTTGTAAATAAGATCATACAACATACTTCATTCGAGCAGATGAAGAACAATCCAACTACCAATTACACAATGCTCCCGGAAGCAGTGATGAACCAAAAAATAAGTCCCTTCATGAGAAAAGGTGATGATACTTGCCTCCATTTGCCTCAAATGCCATGGGAAAATCACTAGTTTAAATTATTATAGGCAAATAACTAATCAGATATTTTATTCCCTGTGAAATCAACTTGTTTTATCAGGAGCTATTTCATAATTGAACACTCCTCTCTCTGCATTATCTGTATTTAGAGGTGTAAAACACTACTACTACTGCAACTACAACTCCTCCTCCTCCTCCTCCTCCTCCTACTACTACTACTACCATTTATACCATGATAAATTGCTGTTGGTTGTTTTTGTGTTATATTAAGTACCTGGTAGGGTCTCAGAGTTGACTCACAGTACTAGAGCGCATGCTCTCCATGTGGGAACCTGAGGTTTGATCCCAAGCATCATTTAAAGAAGGAGGAGGAGGAGGAGGAAGAAAATTACCTGTAGATATTAAGGACTTAATAATATGCCAATATACTCTTTTTAAAATTTCTAGTCTATAACTATAATGATCATGATCATGACCATCCTGTTATTCGTCGATTGCCTTGAGCACGCCCCAGTAACGTCTCCTTCGTTCTAACCCTGAGATTTTTAAAAAAGTGCCATATTCAAGGCTCTTTCAGAGTTAGGAGAATGAGACCCTTCATTGTTACCGGTATTTGGCATATCGGGTACGCCATGGGGAGTTTGCCAGACTCTGCCCTGTGGGCAGGTTACATTTGGTAGCTTGCCAGTTTGTTCAAAGTAGGAATGAGATGATAAGATGTCGCGTGGCCGCGAATGCCGCTGCGCCTTTCCAGGAGCTGGGTTTTATAGTCTCCGAATATTGTCCGTTGATGGGATTACACGGCGCCTGGGGGCCAGGTGGTGGGTGTGACCCCCGCCTACTGGAATTTGAAGGATCTGGGTGGAGGATGCTCAGCCCTGATCGGAGTAGGCTTGGAGATCTTAGTCCTGGGACCCACATGTCTTTGTTCCCCTGCCAGTACCTTCATGTGTGTGGAAAGTGGTCTCAGCATGGTGGTGGCTGGTTCTGGAGGTCTTCGGCTGCCGGAGCCCTGATCGGGGCGAGGAGGAAAACTCAACCCGCTCCCCTCCAAGGGGCTATGACATATTTTATACGTTATAACAATATAAAAAAATAAAATAGCTATAACAATATTTATTTAATATTTTTTGTAACATGTAATTTTAAAATAAAACTTCTTCTAAAATTATATATTTGGAGAAAATTCCTGTTAGTATCTCATTTTGGGGCTGGAGCGATAGCACAGTGGGTAGGGCGTTAGCCTTGTACGGCAGCGAACATGGCTGACCCGAGTTGGATCCTCCGCCCCTCTCAGAGAGCTTGGCAAGCTACCAAGAGTATTTCACCCGCATGGCAAAGCCTGGAAAGCTCCCCGTAACGTATTCGATATGCCAAACACAGTAACAAGTCTCACAATGTTACTGGGCCCGCTCCAGCAAATCGATGAACAATGGGAGGACCGTGACCATGACCGTGATCTTATTTTGATGAGGAAAATGTACTTCACAATGTAGATTTTCCATGATAAATGAAAGAAATTTTCAAGACTGTCAAAATCAAGATATATATATATATATATTTTGTGTTTTAATTATGCCACCATAAAGCTGCTAAACTACCACATCAAAGTACAAGTTAAAGTATAGTTCTATTTAGCAACAATATAAAAATACAACTAGGGGTCTAGAGAGATAGTACAGTGGGTAGATGTTTGCCTTACACACAACCAATCTGGGTTTGATCCCCAGCATCCCATTTCTGGACCCCCAAGGAGTGATTCCTAAGTGCAGAGCCAGCAATAATTCTGAGAATTGCTGTCTGTGGCCCCCAAGCAAGCAAACAAATAAAAAAAATACAGCTAGATAATATGCTATTTGGAAACAGGTGTGAAATAATGAAATATATTAAGTTTGTGTATCCAAAGACACATAGAACATGCAGAGTAATTGCACATCCAGAATTACCAGTAGGTGAGGAAACATTTGTACACTTGTGCATATTTCGTTTACCCCTAAGAAAATCTTGCTCTTTGAACCAAACCAAAAGTTTAGGGAATTTTTAAAATTAGATTAATAACACATATGACATTAAACAAAGTCAGGTAAGGACAGAGAAGAGAAAGTCTAGATTGCACACAAATTTACCTTTTGAATTATTTCAGCGCTCTTTCCATAATGCCCATATATGAATATGGATAACTATAGTAATTTAGATAAAGATGTATCTGTTCAGGAAGTACACATACATTTTAAAGAAACTAGAGTTAAGATAAACACAATACTTCTAAAGGGTTATTTTATGATGTACCACAGAATCTACCAAGATATTGAGTATAAACATTTCCTATATTCTCAGTTTGGGGTATATTTTATTGTGAAAGTTTAGAACTCATTGAGATAATTGTAATTTATTTATGAACTTATAATACGGAGATAGCTTCATACTTTTAGGGAGGATTTAATGTAGTAGAGAGCTAAGAAGAAGACTCTTCTAGACAAATATAATAGCCAAAGTGCGCAATGCTTAAGAATTTTTCTGTCCAAAACAGCAAAATTAGAGAGGAAATGCATATAGGAAAGTATGAATGTGTATTAAATTTTAGAAGCCATGCATGACCATTTCCAGATTTAAGCCTCTATTCCTCTATTTCCATGACATTTACCATGGAAAAGTAGACAAAGAAAATATAATTTTTAGTGATAAAAGGGAATATATGTCTAAAGATATGGATAAGAAAATTTCAAAATAAATAAAATTACAAAAATTATATGTGTGTATTATACATAGCAGTGTCATGTAAACATTAGTTTTATTTGACTATTATTGGCATGAAAGTGATATTCAATACCTCATTTTGTAACACATAATTATCATCTTAGGATTTACAAACATTAACAGGAAACTGCAGAAGAAAATTTAAATAGCATAAAAATAAAGAATTGGAAAAAAGCTTGCTTGATTTTCTTTTGATTCTTAGTAATAGCACAACTCCTTCTATGCAAGATTTTTATAGATTTATAATTATATTATATATCAGTTTGTGTAAAGTAATATGTGGCATATACATTTTATATTTAAAACTAATCTGAGGATAATAAGAATAAATATGAGTAGTATTAATGAGTAAAAATAATTTAAATATATCTCTGACTTGAACTATAGTATTTATTATAGTTCTCTTTTGTTACAGGGATTTTAGGAGACTGGAAAAATCACTTTACAGTAGCTCTGAGTGAAAAATTTGATGAACACTATGAACAACAAATGAAGGGGTCCACACTGAAACTGCGAACTGAGATCTAACTGGATTCATATTGATACATCTGAGATTCTGGTTTTCTTCTTCAATTGTTCTGTATTCTACTTTTCAAATCATACATTTATATCAATTCTTCATTTCTCTAAATCAAAGAAATCTTTAATCATAAAAGCTTTTACTGAGGTGCTTTAGAACATTGTGTGTATAATGACTCAACTAAATGATGACATTTTATGAGATTTGATATGAATTTATTTTAAATTCTCAGAAGGTCAGAATCTTCCAGCATTCTTTTGAAATACCTGTGTTTTCCAATGATATTATGTTTTAATGTATAATCTAGTTATGTAGCACTGTAGCACTGTCCTCCCGTGGTTCACCAATTTGCTTGAGCAGTCACCAGTAACGTCTCACAACAAATTGTGAGACTTCTTGTTACTGTTTTGGCATATTGAATACATCACGGGTAGCTTGCCAGGCTTTGCTGTGCGGGCGAGATACTCTTGAGAGCTTACCGGGCTCTCCGAGAGGGATGGAGAAATAGAACCCAAGTTGGCCATGTCAGCCACATGCAAGGAAAATGCCTTACCCGCTGTGCTATTTAGTTATGTAATATACAGAAATTACAAAGTGAAAGTATTGCTTGGAATGTAAATGTGAAGAAGAATCTCAATCTCTGAAAGAAAAATTTATTATCCACTTTCCAAATAAATAACTATTATCGTCTTTGTTTTATATAGTTGTAATAACATTTTAAATTGAAACTTGTTTAAAAGTCATAATTGCTGGGGGGCTGGAACAATAGTACAGCTCTTTCTCTTGCACACGGCTCACTGGGGTTCAGTTCCAGTTATACCATATAGTTCCCCAAGCACTGCCAGGGATAATCCCTCAGTGGGGAGCCAGGAGTAACCCCTGAGCTTTGCCAGAGATGGTCCCCTAAAACAAAAAACAAATAAATAAAAATCATAATTTCTACCTGCAATTAATAATAAACTGAGTACCTTTTAAATTTTTCTTAGTGGAACAACATAGGCTTATTGTTCTTTGAGCTCTGTCCCAATCCATTCTGATGTTTTTATTTTTTAATTTTCTTTCTCTTGTAGGGTGAGCTTTTGTCTTTTTCAAATGCTTTGTAAGCTGCTGTGAATTTTGTTCAGATATTAGGCATGAAGTGCTGTAATTGTTTTCGGGTTATGAAATGTGTGTTCTCCAGACCAGGAATGTGACTCAGTGGCAGAGTACACACCTTGCATGTGTCAGGTCCTGAGTTCAGTTCCCAATGCTGCCTCTCCTTACTCACACCAGCAAAAAAGCATTTATAAACGGGTCGAGGGAGGCAACTCAGAGACAGAGCAGGTGATGGATATGGATGATGTGTGTTTGGATCCTAGTGATGGACAAACAGAAAACAACTGGACACACTCGAGAGAATCAATGAACAACAGGAGGACAGTATTTCAGTGCTAGTGGAACAACATACAAAGTTATACTTAATGAAATTCAGGGTTTCTCTATAACTTGTCCTAAATTTCTGCAATTTCTTTGGAGAAATAAAGGATCTGCACTAAAACTTTCAAGTAAATAGGTAATTTAATCCCATGTTAGATATTTCACATCTTCCCTAAACATTCCCTTGACATCTGTGTGGGCTGAAATCAGTGAAGAGTTTGGACAGTACCATGTGTAAGGTACACAAGGATAGCCACCTTAGCTGGTCCAATTAATATGTAAGTTTTCCCAGTGTTTCTATCTCTAGAGATATGCTTCCAAGACAAATGCTAGACACCTAAACGCATTTAATTAATGCCTGTTTATTGACAGTTTGCTACCATATTGACTGTAAGGTACTCAGCATTCAGATATGAATGTAACTTACAAGGGAAACTTAAAAAGAAATTACTTCAAATAACTTTAAGTTAAGTATAAATATAAAACACTTATGAAATATAATGCTATGATATATTCATTATATATAATTATATCTACATATATATATTTGCCAATCAAATTAGGTATGTATATATACTGAGTAAGCAATAAGGACAGGAAAATAGATAAATATTCCATATAGAAGAATTTCTAATTATATAGTTATGTGTAGCTTTCAATCCCATCCCATCCCTTAAATGTGGGTTCCACAGAGTGGCCTCCTTCAAAAGACATGACAGATGTGCAGGAAAGGATGTATAATTTTACATGGCAAACACTACCCCAACTAACTGAGGAAGATGTACTATGATTAAATAACCTTTGTATTTAACAAAAATACCACTTATCTGATTGGTCCTTCTCCAAACCTTTAACCATAAAAGACTTCATCTAACTCCAAGTTCAAAGGCAACATTCAAAATACTGAATCAGTACAGCTCAGTTTTGTTAAGATCATCAAACATAAGTAAACTTTAGAAACTGAGAGTCAGAAGATGTCTTATGCGAGACCTAAATGTAATGTGGTATCCTATGAAGATCCTGGAATAGAAATGGACATGTGATAAAAAGTCATAAAATTCTAATAAAATATAAAATTGAATAATTTTAGCATTAGCTAACACATACATAATATGTAGCATAGTTGTGTAAGTTTCTGTAACACGGAAAATGAATAACATATAGAATCACGGGAGGTAAAGGCCCTCCCGTTGATCGTCGATTTGCTCGAGCGGGCCCAGTAACGTCTCCATTGGAGACTTTGTTGTTACTGTGTCTGGCATATCAACTACTCTCGGTAGCTTGCCGGGCTCTCCGAGAGGGGCGGAGGAATCGAACTCGGGTCGGCCATGTTGGCTGCGTGCAAGGCAGACGCCCTACCCACTGTGCTATCGCTCCAGCTTTATATCCCCCAGGGCTGGAGCGATAGCACAGCGGGTAGGGCGTTCGCCTTACAAGCGGCCAACATGGCCGACCCGAGTTCGATTCCTCCGCCCCTCTCGGAGAGCCCGGCAAGCTACCGAGAGTATTCGATATGCCAGACACAGTAACAACAAAGTCTCCAATGGAGACGTTACTGGGCCCGCTCGAGCAAATCGACGATCAACGGGAGGGGCCTTTATTACTTATATCCCCCAGATGAATGCCATCTTTCTATGTCTACCCCTCTCTTTCTGACTCATTTTGTTTAGCATGATACTTTCCATGTAGTACCACTTGTATGTAAATTTCATGACTTCATCTTTTCTAACAGCTACATAGTACTCCATTGTGTAGATGTACCAAAGTTTCTTTAACCAGTCATCTCTTCTTGGGCACTCAGGTTTTTCCAGATTCTGTCTATTGTAAAGAGTGTTGCAATGAACAAACAAGTGCAGATGTCACTTCGACTATACATTTTTGCCCCTCTGGGATATATACCCAGGAGTGGTATTGCTGGGTCAAATGGGAGCTAAGTTTCTAATTTTTGGAGAATCGTCCATACTATTTTCCAAAAGGGTTGAACCAGTCGGCATTCCCACTAACAGTGAAGGAGTGTCCCTTTCTCGCCACATTAGCGCCAGCACTGGTTGCTTTTGTTCTTTTGGATGTGGGCCAGTTTCTGAGGTGTGAGATGGTATCTCATTGTGGTTTTGATCTGCATCTCCCTGATAATTAATGATGTAGAGCATTTTCTCATGTGCTTTTTTGCCATTCATATTTCTTCTTTGAGAAAGTTTCTGTTCATTTCATTGCCCCATTTTTTGATTAGGTTGGATGTTTTCTTCTTGTGCAGTTCAAGCAGTACTTTATATATCCTTGATATCAACCCCTTGTTGGATGTGTATTCGGCGAATATCTTTTCCCATTCTATAGACTGTCTTTGTATTTTGGTCACTATTTCTTTTGAGGTGCAGAAGCTTCTTAGTTTAAGATAGTCCCATTTATCTATCTCTGTTTTCACTTGCTCGACCAGTGGCATGACATCTTTGAAGATATCATTAGCTTCAACCTCATGGAGGGTTTTGCCAACTTTGTCTTCAATGGACCTTAGGGTTTCTGGTCTGATGTTGAGGTCTTTAATCTATATTTATCTTACTTTTGTACATGGTGTTACGCAGAGTTCTGAACCCATTTTTTTGCATGTAGCCGTCCAGTTTTGCTAGCACAATTTGTTAAAGAGGCTTTCCTTACTCCAATTCACATTTCTTGCACCTTTATCAAATATTAGATGATAATATAATTGAGGGGAGATGTCAGTGTATTCAACCCTGTTCCATTGGTCTGCAGCTCTGCCTTTGTTCCAGTACCATGCTTTTTTGATTATTACTGCTTTGTAGTACAGTTTGAAGTTAGGGAGGTTGATTCCTCCCATTTTCTTTTTCCCAAGAATTGCTTTAGTTATTCGTGGGGGCTTATTGTTCCATATAAATTTCAGGAGTGTTTGCTCCATTTCTTTGAAGAATGTCATGGGTATCCTTATAGGGATTGCATTGAATTTGTACAATGCTTTGGGAAGTATTGCCATTTTGACAATGTTAAGTCTCCTGACTCATGAGCAGGGGATATATTTCCATTTCCTCATGTCCTCTTTAATTTCCTGAAGTAGCGTTTTGTAGTTTTCTTTGTACAGTTCCTTTACTTCCTTAGTTAAGCTGATTCCTAGGTTTTCTTGATTTTCTGGGGCAAAATTGTGAACGGGATTGTTTTCTTCATGTCACTTTCTTCTCTCTCACTATTTGCATATAGGAAAGCCATGAACATTTGGGTATTGATTTTATAGCCTGCAACTTTACTACACAAGTCTATTGTTTCTAGGAGTTTCTTGGTAGAGGTTTTAGGGTTCTCTAAGTATAGTATCATATCATCTGGGAATAGTAAGTGCTTGATTTCTTCCTTTCCTACCTGAATGCCCTTAATATATTTTTCTTGCCTAATCGCTATCGCAAGTACTTCCAGTACTATATTGAACAGCAGTGAAGCAGTGGGCATCCTTGTCTCGTCCCTGATCTTAGAGGGAAGGCTCTCAGTTTTTCCCCATTGAGGATGATGCTTGCTGTAGGCTTGTGGTAGATGGCTTTAACTATGTCGAGGAAAGTTCCCTCTATACCCATTTTGGCGAGGGTTTTCATCATAAAGGGGTGCTGGACCTTGTCAAATGCTTTCTCTGCATCTATTGATATGATTGTATGGTTTATATCTTTTCTTTTGTTGAAATGATGGATTATGTTGATTGATTTCCGAACGTTAAACCATCCTTGCATCCCTGGGATGAATCCTACTTGGTCATGGTGTATGATCTTTTTGATGAGTAGTTGGATTCTATTTGCTAGTAGTTTGTTGAGGATCTTTGCATCTGTGTTCATCAGGAATATCGGCCTGTAATTCTCTTTCTTTGTGGTATCTGTGTCTGCAAGTTCCTGAGCTTCCGTTTGTCTGTGAAACTGTGTGTTGTTCCTTCTTTTATGAATGAGAGTCTCGCTGGGTAAAGTATTTTTGGTGAGGCATTTATTTCATTGAGTTTTTTCACTATATCCCATCACTGTTTTTGGGATATGAGGGTTTCATCAGACAAATCAGCTGTGAATTTTAAGAATGCTCCTTTGTATGAAATTTCTTTCTTCAATCGTGCTGCTTTCAGAATTTTGTCTCTATCTAAGGTTTTGGTCATTTTGATCAGGATATGTCTTGGGGTATTTTTATTCAGATTTCTTCTAGCTGGTACCCTTCGGGCCTCCTGAATGTGGTCACAAGTTTTCTTCCACTCTGGAAATGTTGTCGCAATGATGTCTTTGACAGTTTCTTCTTCATCAAGGTTTTCTTCC